TCACAGCCAAACACTCTGTTTTTATTGTTTGTTTGTTTTTTTAAATTGCTGTGATTTTCCTCCATGTTGAATTTGAGTCAATGGTCTCACTTGCAGGAATTCACTGCTTTGCTAAATGAACTCTTGTTAATATTGTGTTTTTTTTCTTTTCCTGCAGCCGTCTAAATAATTAGCTTTTGTTGTAGAAAATGATGAATTTGGGCAGTTAATTTATTGATCGTCCGGCTCCTGCGATGTGCTTTGCTTTAGAAAGTCATTAATCAATGGATGAAAACACCTAATTCTCCTCCTGCTCTGCTCATTTTCTTTTTCTTTTCTGCTCTCTGTTTGTTTTCTGTCTGTAATAATAGAGGAACCACAGCAATGATACACGGGAAAAACTGCAAGTATGGACTGAGGATAATGATGGTGAAGGGAAAAATTATAGTTTATGGATATTTAGAGTAAGTAAGCCTGTATATATAGTAAGAACATTTTATGCACTCACATTTTAATGTCAACAGATTTAAAAAAGGATTAAAACAGCTAAAATGCAGATAAAACAAAGATTACAGTCTCGGATTGACACTATAGCTGCTGTTTTATGGGAGTTATGTACAAACCCTAAGAAAAAAAAAAGACTACCGGGGGAAAGAAGCCACTTCCAACATTAAGTCTTATATTCAGTTTGTTTGGACCATATTAAAATGACTTAAAATCGCTTTGATTGAAAAGCATTTCAACAAAAATAAAGAAATGTTAATGCATTCATGCAAATGCATTCAGGTCACCTTTTCCCCTTTAAACACCAAAGTTAGGCTCTCCGCTCCACAGCTAGCAGATATAACAACACCCTACACTTCTAAATTAAAAACTTACAGATGGCACAGGTGACAGTTTACAAGTAATTTTGTCTCTGACTGGGTTAAAATATCATTAATGTAATTTGAGTTTTTTGGACCACCAATGAACCAAGCATACAGATGCAGCTAATCCGCCTGAAACCAACCACATCACAAAAACCCAGAAAAGCTCTGATTCGGAGGGCATAAATTGAAATACAAAGGCGACTTACGTCTTCAAAATATCGACTCGCCACAAATAATTACCTGAAGAGTGGACCATTAAGCTGATTATAACATAAATTTACATCATTGAAAGGCAGTACCCTCCAGTGGTATAAATTATTATGACATGACAAGAAGGCAGTGGTCAAATTTTTTTGAATCATATTTTCAATTTGCAGACAAAAGGAAAAGATAAAATGTTCCTGTTCAATAACAAAATTCAGGATAAAACAGACTTAAGCGGTAAATTTTTAAGTAACTAACCACCAAGTTTAGTAACAAGAAATTTGGAGGGTGAGCTAAAAATCCTCTAAGGGCTTGTCAAGTCGTCCTTTCAACAAGAAATATTTAACACAAACACAGAGCCTCAATGAATGCTTTAAGGTCCAAGTCAAACTAAAACATGATAGTGAAATCTTTTAATTTATGAGACACACTCTGTGTGACATCTGTGAGAAAACTTTTCTGACACTTAACTAAGTTTCTCCTCTCTTGGAAGCTTTGTTACACATGTATTATCATGGTCCACAGTCAAACAGATTATTGCGTTGGTTTGAGTGAGCATTTGTTACCATTCTTCCTCTACGCTGATAATCCAGCGATGTGTCTCATTTAACGTCAGAGCAGTCCTTTTATTATAATCTCAAATTAGTCAGAAGAACTCAACTTCCCCGAAAAATACAAACTTGGAGATGAAACAGCACAAAAAAAACTAACTATAATGGCAGAAACCAGGTTTGTTTTTTGATATCATAGTTTGACCTATGCTTTATCTGTTCACATAAGGGAGGCAGACTTTGTGATCAGACTGTAACCAGCCAGCAGGGAGGGCTCTCTATGTTTATGCTCCTCTTAAGAGACGCTGTCCATTTTTCTACGGATCTTGTTTAAAGCTCCTGAGAGGAACTTTCGGTTTGTTTGTTTTAAATAAGCAATAATTAATGATTCAATATCAAACAAATCAGTGAAATAAAAAGGCTGTAGGCGCTGGCCAAAAGAAAAAAAAGAGGGGTGGTGGACATGGCTCATAAAAATCATTTAACAAAAAGAGAAAGCGAAGCCAACAAACATCCTCATGTTTGACTGGGAGACTGTGAGTGTGGCCCAGCTAAACCCAACTTGATATTCTGCTCTGCCTTTCTCTGCTCTGAATACTCCCCCTCCTCTACCCTGAGGTGTGCTGCAGCCACACAGGTAGGGGGAGGAGGGGGAGAGAGAGGGGAAGAGGAACCATGGAGCACCTAGCCGCACGTAACAACTAGCAAAACAAAGTTAGGATTAAACGATGAAAATGAAGAATTCAAGATGCATTAGTAGATTTGAACTTGGCTTTAAATGTAAATAAAAACCTCTGTTTAGTCATCAAAAAAAAAAACGTTTATTTTACTGAATTACATAGTAAAGGAGCTGATTTTGTAAGTAAAATGTTACTTTATACAAAGATTACAAACTTAACAGGAAAAAAAATCAGAGTAATAACAAACTAACTAGCTGTAGTACCAGCAAAAGGAGCTGGGATTTGAACTCTAACCTTGTGATTACCTACCAGCCACCATTGACCCTGAACTTGTGTTTCAGCCAATCAGACGGCCTGTTGTTGCTCCACATTCCTGGACACTGAAAAACCGCTTTAAGCCGACAAGAGTTCATTTTCAGACGCTTATGTTTGTGTTTTTGTTCGTTATCAATCCACCAGAGGTCCCGAGGATGACAAATGGGGCCTGTCAGGACTACGCCAGTCATAACAACACACACGCGCGCGCACACACACACACACACACACACAAAACCACACACACTCATACTGTCACGTTTTTAGGCATTTAGCCGATGTTCTTATCCACAGCAGCTTACAATGACTGATGTACGCACACATACTGTATGCGCCACATGCCCAGCTCTGGCTGTGAGTATGTGTGTGCGCTCGCATTTGTGTGAGAGAGCAGCAGACGGGTGGGAAAGCTTGGGGTCATGGATAACAAGTCAGACCCAGAAACACAATGAGCTTGGCTGTAATCTGTCTTATCTGTACACACACACACACACACACACACACACACACACACACACACACACACACACACACACACACACACACACACAAACACACACACTTGATGGTTGTTAAAGATGCTGAGGTGTTTCTACGCGACCACCTCCAGGATCAGAAATAATAACAAATGTTGTCACTATGATCTGAGCTCAGCACTTAAAAACAGATATGACTCTGTCGTGGAAGTTGCTGCATAGGCTCAAAATCAATCCAAACAGCAGTGTCTGTGAACACAGTCTTTTGCGCACCTACAAATGCAGGTTAAAAATATGTGGTGCATAGAAGAAGTCATACATAAACATGATTCAACAATGTTGGCTGACTTTTGGCCTGGGCCTTTTTAAGATGGACTTAGTGAAGGTGGACAACTGTCCCATCCACCGTCTGACTGATCACATTTTGACTGTCTGTTTGAAAGCCATGGACAAAGCACCTTCGGCAATGAAGAGGAAAAGACCAACCAGCTTATTTTAAAAGCACTGTTCAAATGCCTTTCAAAGAAAACTTGACTCTGTGGTGGAAATCATTGCTTTTGCCTCAAAACCACTCCCAAAAACCATTATGTTTTTTATCACTGTGTCCACAAGTGCTGGTTAAAACTGAATCATGCAAAGAGGAAACTGGATAAAAACATGAGCCAGAAACACCAGATCCATGTAAGGTGGACTGAGGGGAAGTGGAGGAATGCCCGAAGGTCATGAAAATCTAAGTTGGACATTGTCTTTAGAAATCCTGGACATTGCTACTCCACTTTAAAAGAAGAGAGGCACCAGAGGGCTTGTTATCAGCTGAAATCCAACATCCCTGATGAAATGGGGATCATCAGAGTCCACGTCATGGGTATCTTCCTCATCTGTGAAGGCTCTGTTAATGCTGAACAATATCTACAGGTTTAGGAGCAACATCTGCTGACATCCAGACTAAGTATTTCATATTTCAGGAGGACAATGACAAACCACATTCTGACAACAGGGATTACAACAGCATGGATCTGTAGGAGAAGAGTCCTGCTGAGAAACTGGACTGATGCAGTCCTGACTTGTCCCTCATTAAAAACAATTGGAGCATCATGACACCAAAACTGGGACAAAGGAGACCCTGAACTGTTGAGAAGCTGAAATCCTCTATCAGGCCAGGACAACATTTCACTGTCAGACTCCTGAACCTGGTCTGCTGGGTTCACTAAGGTCTACAGAGGGTTGGTGAAAGAGGTTCTGAGGACACTGAGGACTGCCCTGTAACAACCTGCCATCAAGTTAAAACTGAGACTAATGAAACATGATTTCTTTATTAGTTTCAGTATTTGAATTGTAGTCTTTGCACTTTTTTCAGTTATATAAAAGTTTTAAATTTCACAACTCTGTTTTTATCAACATTTTACAGAGCCTCACTTTTTTGACTACGTTTTTTTTCAGTCTGTAAAAACAATATATATGGACAGACAGAAGTCTTGCAGTGATTCATTGATCATTATAAAATAAAAGCAGAAAGACAACAGACCACGTCCTCATTTAAAATAAATCACATAAATTCACTCTGCTCCAGTTAACCTCTAGATTCTCCATAAACACAAACACAGAGATGTACATATAGCCTTCAGTGTGCTGCTCTCTGAACATTTGTTCTCTGTCAATAAAGATCATTTAAATTGAACTGAAGGGAACTAAATCTGTAGAGGAGATGGAGAGCGAGGGAGGGAAAAACAGAAAGACGTGAGTCCAGGCGAAAAGGAAGGAAGAGCAGGAGAAAGAAAAGTGTGAGGGAGAAATAATACGTATGAATTAGAGAGGGAGAGAGGGGAGAGGGTAAGTGAGAGGGGAGGAGGAGAAGGAGGAGGAGGAGGAGAGAGAGGGAGTGAGTCTCGCGCAGCAGCCGCTCCGCTAGTTTTGGCTCCGGAGACGCGCAGGACGTAGCGAAGTGTCCCGGCTCCCCTCGATGGTCCACCGCAGCCCGGAGGAGGGACGAACCTTCCACCGCTGCCCGGAAATCAGCGTCGAAGAGCCGCCGTACACACGCTGACAGCAGTAAGCTTCTTAACAGCTCTCACTCTTAAAAACAGCAGACCGCGGAAACTCCATTCTGAGGGCAGCGCCTCCACCTCTCCACCCGCCAACCGCTCCCTCTTGTCTGGCTACAGGACAGCGCACCGTACCGCTGTGGATTTAACCGGAACGTTTATTTCTCTAGGCTACTTCCTAGAATCTTGTTCTACGGAGTCTGGAAGTGTGTGATTGTAACTTTATTTCGGTTGATGAGGCTCTTGCGCTTGGCGTGCGTAAAACCCGCGCGGAAACTGCCGAGAGCCGACAGAGCGGAGCAGAGAGAGCAGGAGTGCAGGGTCAACCAGGCTGGAGTCAGTGTAATTACCGGCTGTATGTTCAACTGTTTAAAAAATTAGGGCTCAGTTAATGTGTTAAAAAACGTTTTATTTTTGCAGAAAAACAGACTTCTAAGGAAGTTTGAGAATTAGGATGAAAGAAGATGCGGAAAGATGCAAAACTAGGGAATAAAGCAGGTTTCGATGGGAGATTTTCCTGGGACAACACCTAATTTCTTTGTTTTTAAAGAGACTGGTTCCTGAGTTTTAGATAACCTAGGCATTTTCAAAATGCTTAAAAGGCAATAATTGGAGCAGAATTGGCGGATTCATTTTACACACCTTGAGAAGTGACACCCTGACAATTTTTGCTGATCCTCTGAAACTCTTAGAAGCTAAACTGCATGTCAATTGAACCCCAAGACCCTCTAATATTTATTGAAAACAAAACAAAAAAACAAAATAATAATAAATCAAAAAAAAAGAAAGAAAGAAAGAAAAGAAAAGAAATAATGTTCAACTTTCTTCACAGGAATATACATATTAGTATTTAATTTGAAATAGGACAGAAATCCTACAGACTGAAACAGCAAAGTGTAGCAGAATTAATTTACCACAATACCTGAAACCTTATAAATTATTGTTTTAATCAATACTAAAACAATAAATCTATGCCAGAAGTTTCATTATTACACTTCTAAGTTTGTTGGCATCTTTGTGGAATAAGACTTAACCTAACCCGTGAGATTGTGATTCAGAATAGATGGAAAATGTTGGTGGTTTGCACTGAATTCTTAAATATCACAGAAATGTTCACTAGATGTGTGAGTAATTTTCAGGCTTTAATAAACACCTTAAATTTAACATAGATGCACCAAAGAGGTTATTATTTTGCCCCAAAACATTTCAGGCTTTTTTTTTTTAATGCAACAAAGATTTATCATTTCAATTCTCAAGTGGAGGAATGATCTGATTTGGCGAAAGCAGATGTAACCTACAGATAATAATGATAGATTCCTGTGTCTTGAGTGTGAATTTTACACCTACAACAGCCAAAGTAGAATAAAGCAATACCATCTTTTCTGTGCAGGTAAAGAAAGAAAACAATCTGTAGCATAGACTAAGATCAGATGCCCAAATTTATGAGAGTATCAATGCAGATGGAAAGACTGAATCTGGGACTGAATGGAGTTTTACACCTTCAGAGTAAATGGATCTCCACACACCTGGAAAAAGCATCAAGTCTGATGGTCTGAGCAGCTTTGATTTTTCAGTGAGCTGCCTGAAACGTGACTCTAACTAAGTGTTTTCTTTTTCAAATAATAAATCAATCTCTGTAGTCAGTTTGGGAATCAGCCGCTCTTCCTGTCTCCTCCTTCAGACTGATTCAAATATGTTTGACCCTCTGTACATGCATGACATCCTGTCTTGACCTCCTCTTTGCTCCTCTGATGCTGATGATTGAAACCTCCTCCTCCTCTTCCTCTCTTCTCTCAGCAACCTCGAGTGGCCATGCTGAAACCGGGCGACTCGAGCGGCTCGGCCTTCCTGAAGGTGGACCCGTCTTACCTGCAGCACTGGCAGCAGCTCTTCCCTCAGGCGCAGCTGAAGCCTCCCCTCGCGCCGCCGCCTCCACCTCCTCCACCTGACCGTCTCTCCATCCCCGTGGACAGCCTGCGACAGTCCCGCCTGCACAGCCACCTCTTGGCCTCCTCACACTGCACTTCCTCCTCTTCTTCTACATCCTCCTCTTCAGCTCTCACTCCATCCTCCTCCATCTCCATCGCCACCTCTGCAGGGATCTCCCAGCTCCCCGTCCCTCAGCAAATTGCCCTCTTTGGCCAGGCGTTGGCCCCTGTGTGTGCCGGGCCTGGAGGACCAGGAGGAGGACCGGGAGGAGGACCGGGAGGAGGAGGAGATTTGATTGTGGTGGTTCCTCCAGAGAACCAGCAGCAAGGTCCTAGTAACCCAGCAGCAGCAGCAGCAGCAGCAGTGGGGCTCCTCCACCAGGCTAAAGAGCAGAGCTGTGGGGGTGTTGGGGTGGTGTCGTCCAGCGTGAAGAGCAGCGGAGGAGGAGAGGAGGGAGGCAAAGGAGCGAGGTTCAAGCTGACTTCTGAGGAGCTGGACTACTACCTGTACGGACAGCAGAGGATGGAGATCATCCCACTGAGCAACCACACGGGAGAGGTCAACAACCGTACGTACAAACTAAATCACACACACACACACACACATACACACACACACACACACACACACACACACACACACACACACACACACTTCCCTGAAATGAATGAAGACTTTGTTTAACTTTCATTTCCCGCCCTTCTTTTGAAAGTTCATGGTAGAAACTTAAATTCAAGGGCAGGTGGACAACTTTCCTATCAAGTTCAGAAATGTTCTTTTATTCATTAAGCTAGCTGTCATACAGATGTGCATAGTGACACGTTATATTTAAATGTTTATGTTATATTTTCTAAGGCTGATCTAATATGACTTCAATTCTACACAAGATTTAGCTTTCTGTAGAGACAGTCGTTTACAGCCATAACCATAATTTGATTGAATTTATCAGTAAGTCAAGTTAGTGCAAAAAAACTAAATAGGTTGTGTAGTTAAATTATCTGTGGAATCATAGGAACATTTTTAATCATTTACAACACAGAGGTCATATATCCTTATAAATAGTGAAGCAAAATGCTGACTCCATCGTTACAAAGTTGTCTTTGAAGAGTTTGTACTTTATTATTATTATTATTATTATTAATAAAATATTTTAAACTTACTTTTATAGTTTTACTTTTCACATTTCTATTTATCAAAGCCATATTCATTACTCACAGAACTTTTTAGACTGACATGCCACATCTACAACCAGGACGGAAAATAAAAAGTTAAATTAATAAGTTCAATGGGACTAATTTTTTGAGTTTTTAAACTCAAAAACACTTCAAATCAAAAGATAAAAAAACTCCTGAAAGTACAATATAGGTAAAGTGGAGAAATGTTCTTTTACGAAAACTTTAGTGAAACATGCACATTGAAAGATTTAGGGCCAGGTTTTATTAAATGAGGTCTTAAATTCCCTTTTTATAAATTGTATTAGGTACACATAAAGCTACATTTACAGTCACTGCTTTAAAATGGACAGACAAAAGATGATTTTAACAGAATATTTTACTACTTAAAAAAATAAAAATAAATAAACATTTTAATAACTATTTTTCAGCAGGTAGGTTGTAAAAGTCGGAGATGGAGATTTCTTTCATATGTGTCAAATGTGAGTCTTGATAGTATTGGATGAACGGGTCAAATGAGTGAGATGTGGGCAGTTACAGTCAGTCTGACAGCTGCTGTGTTTACTGACAATAGGAGGTACAGGGTGTATAAGGTCAGAGAGTCAAAGGTCAGCAGCCTGGCCCTGGTTCAGACCCTCAGACAACAGCAGCAGCAGCAGCAGCAGGCCTGCAGTGGGAGTTAATATTAACCAGACCCCATTCAGATTTTTATGGAAATAAGGAGCAGGGTTTACACCTGTCTGCCCGCCCGCACAACCGCGCATTGTCACGTGTTTCTTATATATCAACTCAGGTGAAATGATCGATTAATTGTCGAGCCTATGTGTTGTGTTTTAGTCAACTCTGGACCGATTAAAAACCATCAAAAATATGTAGTGTTTCACAAGAACCTCCTTTTTTCGGAGTCTTCTTCCCAATCTCCCAGACTGATCTTTTAATATTTCTTTTTCCTGTAATTTTCGAGCACGATTTAATGACACAGATAAACAAATATGGCTGCCTTAAAAAAAAAAATGCTCAAAACTCTAGTGTGAGTCCCTCGCGTGCGCGCGTTTGGACAGATAGCCTATTGACACTCCTTCATGCATGAAGACTCACACCTAACACACACATCCACACACACAAACACACACTCCCCACTTGTATTCAAAGTCCCTTCAGTCCAGTCAAGGTGTGTTTTGATCGTAAATGTCCGGATGTCACGTTGAAGATGAGCTGCGCGAGCTCAGAAGTCCGTCTGCCCCGTGCAACTGCGCTAAACTCTCTCCACGGGGTGAGCGCGAGCTGCTCTGCACTCTGCTGTACACGTGAGCATCAAAGGGAAGTGAAGATTTGGAGTTTGAAAAAAAAAAATGGTTTCATCTTCATCAGACACGTAAAAAACAGTTGTACTTTGTACCTTTACGTTTTATATTTTCTCTATTTTAGTCTTTTATAGACCCTCAAGTCTTTTTTTTCTATCTTCCACAAGAACAATATCCGGGTGAAAAATTTGCGTACTTTGAACATTTGGATAAACTTGATATCTTTCTGAAACATGAAAACTTCTAAAAGTATTTTTCGGTTTTCCCATTTCATCTGTAATTTCTAAAATTTAACATAATTTTCATTTAGAATTTTTGCAGCTCTTCTTTCTGGAGGCAAACTTTTTCTGACACTTTAGGCTAATAATTTAGTTTTCAAATTTAAGTGTTGACTGTTTTATGATATGACAACTTTGTCAAATTGTACAGTAAATAATAAAATATTGTTCTAAATAGGACGAATTTAAATCATTTAAAGCGGACTTTTTTTTAACCTCTTGAGTTTTTTATCTGTGCTTCCAGGCTTAGCTTTTGACTGTCTTCAAACCGTGTAATTCTCACGTTTCTACAATTAAGATTATTAACAAACAATGAAGTTCTTAAAATTAAAGGACAATAATTAACACTCTGTGTTTAGTCTGCGTTAAAGAGCTCAGTTTCGTTCTTTTCCAGTGTAATAATTCTCCGGTAATAAAACTGTGTTATGAGATCGCAGGTTCACGACGTTATTGTGTCGTAAGTTTATCATTAAGTGATCATCGCTTTTTTAGTTTTAAGCGACCCCCCCCCCCCCCGTGTGTGTGTGTGTGTGTGTGTGTGTGTGTGTGTGTGTGTGTGTATTCCGCGGTGATAAAACGGACCATCAGCAGTAATCTGCGTCGATACGCGCCGGCAGGGCCGATGAGGGATGGAGGGACAAGCAGGAATTAATTGCCGTGTATAGTTTTGTGTTTGTCGGAGGAGAGAGAGAGAGAGAGAGAGAGAGAGAGAGAGAGAGAGAGAGAGAGAGAGAGAGAGAGAGAAAAGGGGGGAGGGAGATCGATCCAGCGGCCACCGGCCCGCTATTTATCATCCCAACACGCCGTATTGAGGTCTCTGGGGTGTGTGTGAGAGTGTGTGTGTAGCCTATGTATATGTGGGGGTGGGTGGGGGTGTAGATAAAGAAGCAGTCACACACACTCTTTCTGTCTGACCTCGATTATTAATGACACCAATAATAATAAAACAATTATAACTTCATGAAAATAATCAGAGTCATCTTAATTATATCAACTTTCTAATTCTTGAGATGTCTTCTCAGTTATAATTTGATTCTCATTTAAGTGGATCTGTTGCAACAGTATTTATGGGTAATAACACTTATCACATATATGTCTTATTTAATGTGTCATTGTTTATTTTCTCTTAATGAAAAAGAGGTGACACACTGGAGGAAGTGAGCTCAGTCCTATTTGTGACAACAATAACAGTGAAATTTCATTCTGATATTGTATTACTCTCAATTTAAAATTTATTTTGATTAAAAAAACAACAACAAACAACAATTACAGTCCTTTTCTAAACAGCTTCAATGTTGTTGTGCCTCAATACAAAAACAATAACTCTCTCTTAGATCAAGATTCGCTTGACATATTATCAAAGGTGTCAGCATTACAATCACAATGCAATTACTGTCAGGATTCATATGTTGTCGTTTTTGTTTTTTTTAATAATGTGCAATTATGTCCCTTTTGGCTCACCGTAGTTAAACAACCAAAGTGTCCTCCTGCTTTAACCTGCTGCTGTTATGGAAAATAATGATAGCACTGCACTTTTCACCTTGAAAAACTCTCAAATGGCACAACAAACAAATCAAAAGTCATCCACACTTTGTGAATAAAAAATCCTCAAAGTGCTTTTAAGTCTGAGTTTTTACTTATAGTCTAAGCACACACTAAGATCATCTGGAAGCTGCATCACAAAAACAGACAGGGCATGATCTAACAGTGTATAAATATTACAAAACTGTAATAATTTTGCACAAACAGAACCTGCATGAAACAGAGAAAGAAACCAAACCGGTACCACTGAAAAGTGCGACAGCTGCTGCATTAACCTGGGATCCCTCGACTTATATCTCAGAGGATCTGCACACCACATTTAGAAAGTGCACTTCTGCAAATTTCTAAACAGTGATATTTTGAACATTCAAACTACATTTGGCAGAATCAGCACTTTGAAGGCTGTCTCCTCACCTCTAACTCATGGTTTCAGACCACACCGTGCAGCCTTTATTTGAATGAATGATCAATCTAAAACTGAAGACTGTAAAGCACACTTGGTTTCATTCTTTTGTTTCACAAGTTACTTTACTTTTTACTTTACTTTGCAAATAAGGACTTACTCATGATTAAGAATAACACTACTCATAATGAAAACATGAATGATTTGATGACCCTGTACTTTAATAGAGGGGGGAATCACAAACACACTCACACACAGACACTGACAGCATCTCAAAAACAGTAATTAACTGTATTTCTAGCATCTTCTGTGTCTCACGTCCACCATTATTAAACAAAACCCTTGTATTTTATTGTTTTTCCTCCATGTATTATTTGGTTTCAGCAGATTTTAGAGTTTAGGAGGTTTTGTTATGTTTGAATCAGAAGTTTGTGCTCCTCCAGAAGGGCGATTCACAAAGAAATTTGACGTATCAAGACTGCAAACAGCAGGGGAAAAAAAAAAAAAAAAACACTACGGAGAAGTTGGTTTTTATTTTTGCCTCTGAGAGCTCACAGAGAAAAGCGTCTGCAGCGTTAATTGATGCTTCTTTTGCAGATAAAATATCGTGTGTGTGAAGTGTATTTCAGTGTAAATGAATTAAGGCTGAAGAAAATTTAACTCAAAGTTTCTGAGGGCAGCCTACATGTCAAACAACTCAAAGAAACAGACTCAAGTACTCTATGCTCCAGTAACTGTGTTCAGCTAAGACTTTTTCATGGTATTATGAATTAAGGCAAACTATTTAGTATATAGCACCCGTAAAAACCAGTCTGTAACACTTTACAAAAACGCAAAAGCCCAAACCTCTGCAATTTGTTGCCAAATGTGAACAGTCATGTAACTTCTTTATTCTGCAGGTGAGTTTTTTTCCACCGGTTTAAAGTCCTTACACTCTCCCAGATATGATCATTTTTATCACTTTCTCAATCCCGCATTGTTATCTTTTGTCATCCAGCCCTTAAAAATATCTTACTCCAGATGTCTTCATTTTGTACTTTCTTATTCCTTAGTCAAGCCTCTGTTCTTCTACAGATGCTTAAAGTGGCCTTACCCTCCTGTTTACCATTTCTTCCTCCTTTGATCATGTTGCGTGTTGAATGACACTCAGAGCTGCAGCATTGGGAATATAGAAAAAAGCAATAGAAGGTTCCACCAGCAATAAAAACATTTTAAATGAAGAACTCTAAAAACTCTTAACTGAGGAGAAAATCTCTGTTTGCATTTCTCCTCCTGCAAAAGTCCTGCTTTAAATGGGGTAGATCTGATGTTCTGCAGTCTTGAGTATATTATTTGAAAAAAGTCTGAAGCAGTCTCTCGCATTAAAAAAAAATCTCCTTCTTTGTTCATGAAAATCTTTAATAAAATGGCAGTATTCCTCTCCGAAGAACCATTGAGGGAGAAAAACTGCACAAATGATCTGCGTTTTTCTGTGGGACATGTTAAAAGTTAAATATTTTTTACAGTTATTTTTTAGTTCAGATTTCTTTTAGTGCAAACTCCTAAAGTCTTCCCACTCTTCCAGATAAAGTGATTCTTCCTCATTTACATTCATGAAAAGTTTTTTTCCTTCTTGAACATAAATGAAGCAGAGCTGTTCAGTAAAACTAATTGTAATAGAATAATGCAGATAAAAAAATATCTCTCTTTGTGAATTAAACCTTCGACTAGAGAAATAGAGATTGTCCCCTAAAATAAAATCTTTTACCTGCAGGTAATAAAGAACAAAACTTACTTTTAAACTTGCACTTTATCAGCAGGTGAGTTTTAACAGATAAAAATGTGCAACAATGAGATATTTAGTGTGCAATTTCTTGCCATATGTAAATATTATTGAATCGTTTATGGAGCTTGTCTTCTGTTTCAGATGCTTAGAGTCCTCAAACTTTGGCGTCATAATTCTTAATATCTTATTTGTATGGCAAACATGCAGCCCAAAGTGCTTTCACAAAACAGACAGAAAAATGACAGCAGCTGATAAATAGATCAAGTAAAATGACAAGAATAAACAAATGTCTAAAAAAAAAAAATCCACTAGAAAGTACAGTAAAATTTGATATCTGCAGAAGACCAACCACTCCAAATTAAAAGCAGTTCTGATGCCAAAAGTTATCATTTTTGGTACAAAACATTCAAGGACCTCGATGATCGTACTGGGCAATTAGATGAGAGTACATCTTTAGTATTTCAGGTAACAAGGCTGAACAAGCTTTAAAAACAAATATAACTTTAAAATAAATTCACAAAGAAACAGGCCAGTGCAGAGGTTTAAGCTGCAGCATCCCAGAAGAGTTGTAGATTTTTGAAGACATTTTAAAATAACAGGTTAAGATTCTGATAGAAGCATGAGCTCAAATTGCAGAGTATTTTCTGTTGAAAAAGGTTGGAGCTGTTTGGTCCGCTTTAAACGGACCAGAGTTCGTTTCCTCGGATAGTCTACTTCATTTGGGCAGGTGCGAAAGCTCATCCGAACTCTGGTGCAGACCAAACAAGCGAACTCTGGTCCGCCTGAAAACGTGGGTCTCGGTTCGCTTGCAAGTGAACCCTGGTTCCGTTCGTATGCAGTGCGAAAGCTCACCGGACCAAACACAGGACCAAACGTATGTAATGACGCTATACGCAGTGCATCCTGGGTAGAGGAAGCACGGCGTCCCTTGTTTCTATGGCAACAAATGACCACTGACATTAGCAGTTGCTAGCTAGCTTAGCTCAATTGTCTGAACAACAATAACTCATAAATTCACA